ACTGTTAAGTTAGCAGTCTTTCCCGTGATTGCGTAGGCCATAACATAAATATTTCAGTGTATTTATTATTTTTTTTTTATCAGTCTCTTGCAACATAATTTTCTGGAACACTGAGTTGTTGGTCTAACTGTTTGCCATAATCACTAAAGTGAACAGAAATAAGCGCCTGAAGCACATCATGTCAACAGCACAGTCAGAACGTTCTCTGCTTAAGCAGACGCAGCGGGATAAATCCAGAGAAACGCTAAGTGTGAGAGAGGTCAAGTGTGGTAATTTACCCAGCTGACACTCCACACACAGCTGAAGGCTATATAAGTTATCGTCTGGCCTCTGAAGGCATCCGCCTGTGGGAGTGTGTGTTAGTGGTTTGGCGGCCAACAGGTGTCACGTTTTATGTGAGGCGGATGTTGTGTGTTTGTCACTGACTGCAGCTGCTGCGTAGGGTTACTTTCACTCAAGAGATTTCACTGTAGTTATTTTTATATGTTACGATCTAAGAAAAGAAAAAAAAAGAGTGCTATTTATTATGTGATGACAGTTGGTTAGATTGATGCCATGTTTCTGAAGACGGGGAAGCAACGAGAGGTTTTGATGGTTCAATTTGGCTTCCAGTCCAAAGTTCTTCAGACAAAAATGGTGCTTCTGTACTTAGCATGGGTCAGTGAGAGAGGAGTGTATGAACAGCAGCTTCATGGTAGCAACACAACCATCTATACCATTATCTAATTTATAAAAACAATTGAAATACTATTCAAGAAAACATTTAGATTGCAAGGAATTGTATCTCTTTTATGCTATGCTATTATGTAGCATAACAGAGTACAACAAGCTAATACTGGTTGGTTCATTAGTTTATTAGGAACATTTGCTTAGGTAACTCGGTAGTAGAAATAACTCTGACATATTTGTGGTTGATGGTAAAAATGGAGCAGACGTTAATCAGCCTGTTGACTGGAAGTGTGGAGTAACAGGGTGAGGAAGGACAACGCTACGCTACAATAGCTATGTTTCCATCCAACTGTCACACAAATTCTACGCCAACTTTTAAAATGTCACAAAAAAAGAAAAAACAAAAGGAAAACAAGGCGTGTTTCCATCTACTGATTCAGAGTGAATCAACCAGGTTATGCAAAGCATGATTTCGTCATGGCTGTAATAAACAGGAAGTAAAGGTTGCTGACAAGCATGGCGCACATACCTTTTTCCATTGAGGCAATTCCCAAAGTGACCATTTTGACTTCCATGCTAACTCTAATTTCTGGTCAGAATGATGACCTTTGGAACGGAAATATTTATTATTCTGGTCTGGAATCTGGACTAAATTATGATCCCCCTCTGTCCAATGTCAGAATTCAATGGTTTTACTACCCTTGTCTATAATCATAGCCATGCCTGGATTGGGTAAGATTTATGAAAAGTCTTGTTTGAGGTTAACTTTGAAGCAAGCGAATGGTTTCTCTGTGTTCTTATGTGAGTTTCAGTGCTTCTGCTTGCACAGATTTATTCATTTTCTTTAGATTTCTTCATTTGAACTCTTCATTTTTTATTGTCGCTGCAATGAGAATCAGATTTTCCAAGTCTGAGGACAGCAGAAAAACATAGATTGCCTCTTGCTGGTTGGGATCCGTCATTGCCTCAGGAATTTAATACCTCGTCCTGTTCATGAGTGACTGTGGGTAGGAAAGAGCAGGAGAAGGATGTTGTCAAGGGTAAGACCAGTGATACTGTGGTCTGTTGTGATGGAGAAACAGCTGAATCAAAGAGGGAATCTCTCCATGTAATAGTTGGTCTTTAATTCCAACTTTCCTCTATGGTCAAGAAACGTAGATTGTGACCCAAAGAACAAGATCCTGGATATGAAGAACTTCCTCCATAGGGTTTCTGGTGGGGGTGCAATAGACTGGATGATTTGCAAAACTTACATAACTTGTAGTAAAGAATCAAATTATTATGTTTCTCTGCTTTGGGTTCATAGAAAACATATACCTTGCTTAACAGTAGTCGGTTGAGATGCCTGATGAAGGCCTTCCTTTGGAAGTTTCTAGGCACATCCCAGGAGGACACCAGAGGGAACACCCAGAACTCCCAGTAAGGACTCATGACTTTCACCGTCTTGAGAATCTTGGAGAAGTTTTTTTCTAGTTCTGCAAAAGAAGAAAAAAAAATCTGGTTAGCACAGACATTTTTCTTCCTGGGGTTTAAGCCCTCTAGCCTTCAAGCATGAATGGAATACTTAAAGCTACTAGCATTCAGCCTCAAGGATTAGATGGTTAAACCTTGTAGGTTTATCCATCCAATCCAAGACTCATTTTTACTTTTGACCTTGAGTAAACTGTCCTGCTTCAACTTCAGTAACTTTGTAAGATTTCCATTACCGAAAAACATCCTGCTAAGCTAAGGTAAGCTAAGAAGGACTGCATTTGCAACAATCTGTTGCAAATGGTGATCTTTGTACAGTGCATTTTAAAAAATTGCAGGAGTAAAATCTCCATCTATACACATTTGTAAGCAAAAGGAACAAACATCGGCCATCCTGGACTGATATAGTTCAACCTTCTGGACTGTGTCTAAGGAATTCTGAAGAGACATATTAGCATTTGTTATGTTTACCTGCAATACATTTCAATGCAACATAAGTTGTGTTTTCATTGATTGTACATTGCACAATTTGATATTTAGAAAATAAATTGCTCACATTTGTAATGGAACTGCAGCTATACATCAAGTTCATAGGAAGAGTGATTTTGGAAAACTGAAGATTTTGACTTTTTTCTGATGGTGACTCTGTCTACAGAAAATTCTCTCTTGTAAACCTTTTGATATCAAGACCTGAAAAGTGTTGGAAAGCAGGTGCAGTGTAGATGGGTGAAATCATGTAGTGATTCGGCATTGGGCTTCATGCATGTCCAACCTGCACCAATAAAGGCCCTTCACTTTCCTCTGCTCGCTGTAAAACACAGAACCCCCTGCTTTCATCTTAGAATGTTTTTTTTATTTGTGCAATCACCCACTGCTTTCCAATATTCACATTTCTGTCATTTGATGTCCAAGTTCAAGTTTGTTACAGCAGATTTGCATGAATAACCTTAAGAAAGGAATAGAATCTATATAACATTTAAATAAAAAAACAACAAAAACATTTTTTTTACACTGATGATTAAGTGTTTGGAAAACTCCATAGTTGAGTATAATACAAACCAATGATTAAAAATATCTTAACCTTATTCCTTTTTTTCTGTTCTTCCCTTCCTCTCCTCTTCCTCTGAGTAGATGGTTTGTAAGGCAGCATCTTTTTGCCCACAAAATGTTTGAGCAAAAACTGGATCTGCAGCTGCGTTTCCAATAGAGATGTGCACAAAACTTTGTCAATATTCTGCTAATGCAGGAAAAACACAATTTCACAATTGAAATAAGTGGAATAAGTTTATTCATGCGACAAATCATGAAAAGACACTTCATATTGTTACCAAATGGAAACAAAATGAAAGTCAGTGTTTAGTAAAAATGGATAGAAGAGACTAATCATTCTTTGATCAGGTAGAGTTTCTATAGCAAAGAGCCTAACAATATTAGTGCTACCTACACAAAATTTGGTGTTAAAAGTGGTATATTTATTTTTTATATTTTATTTTACTGTAGGAATAGAGCAGATTTTGTCCTTATGTTTGACTGTGAAAACAGCCCAGTCTGTCAAGCTATGGGTGATTTTTATTTCTTCTTTTTTCTGTTGGTGCTTCATGGATCAGAGTTAAGTAGCTTAAACACAAAAATGGCTCCTCTGAAAATAGAGACTGCGCTGAAGCTGAATTTGAGAAATCTGTACACAAAGGCCAATAATACTTTACAAGCCGCTCCATAGTAACCTCAGTGATGTGACAGAGGACTCGTGACTGGACTGTAAAAGTAAATGCAGTGGGGCATACAGTATGTCACCGTGCAGTAATTTATGATGTTTACATCCCAGCGCGGTGGACATACTGTAACTATAGGATTATTCACAGTGCGTCTGTGCCACATGTTGTTGGGATGTTACTGTGACCTAAATCTGACTCTGAGCTGCACTTTCATCTTCTCTGTGTTTTTCCTCTTCTTTTTTTTTTTTAGAGTTACGCTTTGAAAGATCAAACAAAAAGAAAATGAATCATTTTGGTATTTCTCCTTCTTTGTGTGTGTGTGTGTGTGTGTGTGAGTGTGTGTCTGTTGCTTTTTTACAGTTCCATTTAAAATGTTGCAAACTGATTTTTTTTTTTATGTTCAACTCTATACATATAAATAAGCTTACCAGATATACAGCATGGCAACTTTTAGTTCAGTTCACCCACCTATTACATGTTATGCCTAATATATTCTACTCACTTTAATCAATTAGTGGCTACAAAATAGATTTAAATCATTTAAAAAAAAAAAAAATCCAAGCAGGGACTTGCAAAAGGATTCATTTTCAGATTTTTATTTGTAAACAAATCTTTTCTTTCAACTTCACATTTGTATTCCACTTTGTGTTGTTCTTTCACAATAAATTCTAATCAAATACATTAATGTTTGTGGCTAGAATGTGACAAAAAATGAAAAAATTCAAGGGGAGTGAATACTTTTGTCACTAAAAAAAACACCCTTACACAAAGATTGGTTGGCAACTCGGGCCACTTTAAGATGGCAAGTAGGAAGCTGGAATTGAACCCACAACTTTAAATCTTTGAAACTACAAGTTGACTACACTTTCCACTGTGCCACAGTTGAATCACCAGTGTGAAAAAAAATGTTTTTGTTGTTTTTTTTATTGAAATGTTATATAGATTCTATTTCTTTCTTAAGGTTATCCATGCAAATCTGCTGTAACAAACTTGAACTTGGACAGCAAATGAGAGAAAATATGAATATTGGAAAGCAGTGGGTGATTGATTTTTATTTGTTCTGTACAAAACTCCATAGTTGAGTATAATACAAACCAATGACTAAAAATATCTGCTACAATAACATTTCTATCTTGTTTTTAATAGTTCTGGCGGTGGAGCCGCCGGCCCAAGGCCTGGAGAAACTCCCAGAAGAAATGAACTGGTCCTACTCAGGTCTGTTTGATTCTTCTGATGTTTTACTCGTTTGTTGGCTGCAAGTGGAATTTTATTTTCCAGTTTATCGCTTCTAGAGCCAGCTTATCTTAAACAAACTACTTTTTTAACATTTTGATGTCATGACACGTAATCAATTTTCCCAAAAATAATCACTCACTGGGACTGCATTCTGTAACTGCAGAGCCCGTATAAGACCCAAACGCCACAGCAGTATGAATATCTGATGAATTGCAGGTATTATCCATTAACCTCTCCCGCAGGAAAAAATTGATCTGCCTCGGACCATATGGTTCGGTGACTTGAGCTAACTCAGCACGGAGCCCCTGCAGAGTTAAGCTACAATCAGACAGAAACAAAGAGTGGACGCAGACAGGCAGTAAGGACCCCTCAGGGAGCGATTAGAGTTTTACTGCTCAGGAGAGACCCGCTGGCTGTCAGCAGGCTAAAACAAGAGCTATTAGGGTTATTAACCTTCACCTCCATGGATCACATTAGCTGTAAAATGCTAAGATGTATGATGATTCCCACTGCTGCTAATAGATCTCACCTGGAGTTATAAAAGCAAACTGTTTCGTTTAGTTGATTATTTACAATTACATCATCGGTTTGATCACTTAGAGTGACAGCAATGTGAAAAGTTTTTCTAAAGCCCACTCTCAGCAGATTTCAGCATGAATATTAATGGGAAGAACTGCTGCTTGTCAAATGATGTAGCACAGTATTTTCAGTGCATTACCTCCAAATGATGATAATCAGAACGAGAAATCTGAAATACTTAGGAACCATTAGACACCAAGCCTAATTACAACAGAACAAAAGCTATTTCTACTTGCGAAACATGTTCATTTGAGCAAAATTCAATGGGGTTTATGCTCCCTACTCCCTTACTGACCTACTCCCTTACTTCCAACCTTGGATGAATACAAAGTCAATGCTTCAATCCGTTTCCTACTCATTACTGCTGTTATACGTGACAAAGACTGAATCTCAATAGGTGCACCTGCATTTCATCCTTCAGATTGCTCTGTCTTCTTGTCAGAGCTTTACAATCAATTTGTCTGCCACCTTCACCTTGTTTGTCAAATTGGAATGGGTTTTTTGTGTGATACACTGACATGCATAATGAACAACCTTTCAGCAGCAGAAGTGAAGTGGATACACATTTTCCTTTTCTCTGTGTTGGGTCTGTGTTGGGTCTGGAAGTTCATCAACACAAATGAGTTCCTCTGGTAGTTTATTGAGATTCACTGTAACTGTAGCTACCACTGTGACTGTGTGTGTGTGTGTGTGTGTGTGTGTGAGTATATACTTGTATGCAACCTATAGAGGTCCATTATAACAATTTTCACCAACAAATGGAGGTCTTTTGTGGAACATGAGGACATTTTCCAGATCTTCACGTTTTTCCAAGTAGACTGTGCTCAAATAAGAAGGATTATTTGTTTATTAACACGGTGGTATGCCTCTCGACGTGAAGGAGCAGCGGCTCTGCTCCGAGTCCCTCCCGGATGACCGAGCTTCTCACCTTATCTCTAAGGGAGAGCCCAGCCACCCTACGGAGAAAACCCATTTCGGCCGCTTGTTTCCGGGACCTCATTCTTTCGGTCATGACCCAAAGCACATAACCATAGATGAGGGTAGAAACGTAGATCGACCAGTAAATCGAGAACTTCGCTTTTTGACTCAGCTCTCTCTTCACCAGAGAGAGCTGGTGAAGAGAGCTGCTTCACTACTGTGAGCCTGCTTCACTACTGTGAAGCAGGCGGTACAGCGCCTGCTTCACAGTAGTGAAGTAGTGAAGCAGGCTCAGACCTGTTCCTGGTTGTGGAACAGGTCCAGTGTTCCACAACCAGGATGAAAACCACACTGCTCTTCCTGAATCCGAGGTTCGACTATCCGACAGACCCTCCGCTCCAGGACCCCTGAATAGACCTTAAAAGTGAGGCTTAAAAACGTGACCCCAGGTTGTTGAGTGAGAATGATGATTTAATGGTGAAAATATACAAAAATCCAAAGTCCAGACAGCACAGAATGAGTGGAAGGCTAAGACCTCATATCTGGTAGCAACTGGTAGAACAATTGACATCTGACGACAGCAGACAAGACTGCTCCCAAAGAAGAAATGCTGTTTTTGGGTTAAGAAATTGAGTTTTGGTTGGGGTTAGGCTGTAGAAATGAATGGAAGTCAATGGAAAGTCTCCGCAAAGATAGTGAAACAAACGTGCGTGCATGTGTGTGTGTGCAAAAGTGTGTGTACACAAGCTTGTTTTTGTGTCCAGCTCTGTTTCTCGCCTTGTGCGGTGCTCTGAGCCGAGAGTAAAAGCATTAACATTTGAAAGGACCACACTTCATTGTGAGGCACAGCGCACCGCGTTTTTAGTTAGGTCAGAAGTAAAGGGGGGACTGGGGGGAAGCGAATGAAAGGGAGACAGCCAGGGGAACGAGAGAGAGTGAGAGTCGGAGAACTTTCAAGACAAGATACATCCAAATCCCTATAGGCCTTTACAATGAACTCGCCTCCAACAAACCATGGCTGTTCACTTAGATTTACTGCAGCAGGTTTAAATGACTACATACCTCTCATTAATTGTGCTTATACAACTACTTACCAACCTGCCATGTAAGAAAGACATATTTGTTTTGTCTGACATTGAGAATTTCTCACAGAAGTTTTTACCTTTAAATTTAGAAGCTTATCACACTAGACAAACAAACTGGAGTTTGATTAAAGCATACTAAACAGGGCTGGTGTGGTCTGAGATTAAGATTAAGCTAAAAAAGTGTGTGTGCTTGAGCAAGGCAGTCTAAAAACCCAATCCCCAAATTCAGTTCTGTCAAAACAAATGGGCCAAAGTCCCAGCAAACTGTTGGGAGAAGATTGTAGAAGGAAACTCGAAATATTTGATACAAAATGTGTTTAAAAGGCAATTTTAATTATCAAATATTAATGAAATGCATGTGAATTTTTTAATTTGAAAAGATTTGAACAAAGAAACACAAACAAAAGATGTTTTACCTGATTGTTTTGGCATGTTTCAAATAGAAATCCTTTTGTTGATCCCAAATGACTTAAAACAGAAAAGGTTTAGCTTTAATGTTGGACAGAAACTAAATTGCATTTGTACCATATTGAGTGGAAAAAATGCAACAATTATTTAAGTAAAAAAATAATTGTTGCAGATTAATTTAACAAAACAAATTCTAAATTTAAATGCAATATTATCAACATAAATCCAACCTAAAACCTAAACAATGGTCTGAAAGTCCGTAAGAACCTCAAAATATCATTAAGATTTATTCATGCTTTAAGCTTCAGAAAAGAAAAGAAACCCAAACATACCTTTTTTTTTGTGCATACCACCTCTTCTGGGACATCTCTCACTCTTGAGATTAAAAAAATTCTACTTCTATGTTTCCCCAAGTGGATTCATTGTAAATTATTAATGCTTTTATGTTTTTATTTGGTTCAACATGAAATAATAATCTTCTGGTAATCCAGATGAAGCTTGTTAGGGTGGAAAAAAAGTAAAGTTTTTCTTTTTTATAAACATGATTCGCAGGATATTCAAAACGTCTTTTGAAGAGCTACACTCCCATTTGATTTTTCTTTTTTATCATTGCTATTTTTGTATATTTTTATGAAAAACAGGATTTTTTTAATGTTCAGTGTTTCCATCATTATTACTCTGTGCCTTGTCTCCAGGGGGTCCCTGGGATCCTTGTGCCTGGAAGACACCCCTTAGGGTCCCATCTGCCACGCATGTTTTTGCGCATGTCGTTGTGTATCCCGTTAACCCAGAGTTTCCCCTGCCTGACAAATTTACTAGGAAGTTCCCAAAGGAATATTCCAGAGTTCACACTGTAACTAATCAAAAGAATTTGCATGTATGTTTTTTTTTTATTTTTTATTTCTGATAAATTGTTGGTTTTTCATTATTAAACATTTTTCCCCACTACAGTTTTCATAAATGTGTCATGAACCAAAGGAAGATTATGCAACGTGACAGATTATGCCACTTCAGAACATTATGAGCATTCTGAATCCAAATGTTGAATTTATTACTAGATAACTGCAGCATGTTTTGTCATCCGTCTACTTGTTTTTGTTTCTTTGGCCTCCTGTCGTCTGTTTCTCCTCTTCTACCCACCGAACCATAGCCGGGGGACACGCAGGCTTCAGTTGTGCTTTGTCTATGGAACACACACCCACCCACACACCTTCAGGTTTTAATTATGCATAACTCCCACCCCCGTGTGCTATGCTTGTGTTACGTATTCCTTCACATCTGAAGCGATGTGATTGGAAAGAGGTGGGCTCTGGCAGACGTGGAAGTGATTCATTCGAGTGCGTTTTTTTTCCCCTCTTTTTTTCTTTTTAATTCGACCATCTTCAAAGCAGGAAATACATTGGCTCTGGTAAGGTGACCTGACATAGATCCAAAACCCATTTGGAAACATTTTGTATGAGATAAGACTAGAGAGTTACACACCTGGGAGTTAGTTTGAAACCAGTAGCTTGTAGAAGATTTTACACAAAATCCTCATTGTTCTCAACAGATCATCTAGCCAGAACTCTGTTTTGGTCTGTCTGAACTTTATAAATGTCGTGGTCGAAGATGGAAGTGCATTTCATCAACATTTCTTCTGCCACTTTGTACAAGGAGTTTTGTACTTGAACTTCTCCCAAAGGATGAAATGTTACGGCCACAGCGAACAGCGTTCTTGTTGTGGCCAAATTTCTCACTTCTTATGGAACATCTTCAGGCCTTATCATTCAGCTGGCTGATGAAAGAATAGACTTTCCCTTCACATTTAGGAATTACATAATTTGGCATTTCACAAAAACACCTCTTGTGTTTGACTCTTCACACTCTAATCTGATTTTACTTGACATACAGGCTATGACTTTATGGTCCGTCTTCGGACTGCTGGCCTCATGAACAAGCATCAACTGCCAACCCTACGAACAAAACGTCAAAAAGGAAGCCGGTCTCTTT